TAAATCACTTTAATGTTTGCTTCTCACAGACTTAGTATGGGGATTTGGTTAACCAGTTAAAATTCATGAGTAAACCAGGTTTTTCTTAACCGGAAAATTCCCAGGATGGCAGATATGTCCTTAAAGGAAAGAACTCTGAACATGGGTCAGCAATCATGCTCAGAGCTCCTACATCCAATTGTGCATTACTCCTGTAGTTCCAGCTGAAAAACAGGTGGGATGGGAAACATCAAAGTTTCTTGTCGCTTCATGACCTGCCCCATCAGTCTTCTTTATCATAAAGAGCTTTGGGAAGGGCAATTTTATCCCATGGAAAGAAGAGGTTTTAAAGTGATGTACTGTCTCCCTTATTAGAGATGCGCAAAACTTCAGATGTAATTTTGGGTTTTGGATAAATTCGGTGATTCATAGATACAAAACACCTGAAATAAAATGCAAGAAGACCCCCCCCCCCAAAAAAAAAAGAGTTCAGGAAAAGTTTGTTAGTTTCATTAGTATATGCTGGCCATTTTTTCCCAAGATGAAGCAAGCAATCTCTCTGTGAGACAACGGGGCTGAGTGCAGCCATACTTACTGCATCACGTGCTCTTCCTCAGCCAACCACAGGGCTGTTATTTCTCTCAATTTTCCTGGACTTCCAGTTCCAGAAATCCCTGTTTTTTTCTGCAAGCTGTCTTCTGTCAAAAGGGGAGATAATTTTTAAAAATTCCAAAAATAGTACGAGTGTGGTAACTTTCATCCTGAAAGCCATAGATTTTTTTAAAGCCCAAAGTTCTCTGAAGCTGAGAGAGAATATGACTTGCCCAAGGAGCTTAAATTGTTTACATTGAGAGAAAAAATCTTAAGAATGTGGATGACCATAATATTCTGAAACCTAGCAGGGTTATATTTGTAAATGTGTCCTACAAGTGCCCCAAGTTTCATCCTGATAGCAAAAATAATAATAATAATAATGTTTCAGCCATTTAAAGCTGAGAGAATGTGACTCACCCAAGGTGCTTACTTTGGAAAAAAAGTCCTAAAAATCAGTGGATAACTGAAACTTTGCAGTAATTATACCCTACTTGTGTTCTGTCATGGGAGTCCATCCAAATTTCAAAACAAAATTCAAAATGTATTTCTGCCATTTCACACACCTCCACCCTTTATCATAAGAGGGTTTGGGCAGGGCAAGAGGTTTAAAAGTGGTGACAGGGGCTTTGAGAAGGACAAGAGATCTCTTGGTTTCAAAGTTTTCCCTGATTTAAAACAGTAATACAGAGAAAGTAGAGAAAAGAATTTCCTGTGTGATTTATGTAAGATGAATGTATTGCCAGCTCTTAGGTTTCCACATTTGATAAAGTTGATTGAGGGAAACAATGATTGAATAGCTGAAGAGGGAGACAAGTGTGATGGGGAGGCGGAACTTGAAATGGGATGGCTGACAACCTAGAGGGGTGATTTTCTGTGCTAAAAGGATGGTCACGAACCCTTTCCCATCTCAAGGTGATGAGGTCATAGGTCTAATATGTTGGTGTGGCAATGAATCGACTCAAGGTCTTAATTTGAATTTAAAGGGAACTATTCAAAGGCCCTCAAAAAGGGTGCATCCAATACCTTTTTTTTTTGCTACCCCACTCCCACCCTCCAGCCTTACCCCCTGGACATACACTTTGTCCTCATAGTGAAAGATTGTGTGGATCCCAAATAAGTTTCCACAGACACTGCCTCTATTCTTGGAAGACAATCATACTTGACCTTAAGTGATCACCTATGTTTATAACTGGCAAGAAGAACATGTGAGCAGGAGATGTTTGGACATATTATCCTTCAATGCTCCTACCCCCATGCTGCAGAACTCTCTTGGTTAATGCAGTTGCCTAACTTTAAAAGTGGATTTTAGGGGACATTCATTTGGTAACAGTGAAAGAAATGTAAATGTGAATGGCAAAATGTAAGAGGCTTTAAGTGTAACTCAGGACATCCTAAATATTGAATAGAATGCCAGATTTTACTTGTAGCCTAAGATGAAAACATTAATAGATTCATATTTGATTATTATAATTATTTAATAACTAATAATTCCTGTAATCAATTGAAATGATTTCTTTTGCTCAGCACTGGAAGTAATCCATAACTGTGTTCACCCAAGGAAGAGGAGAGCAAAAGATCATTATTAATAATCAAGTATATCAATTTGACAAGAAAACTATTTTTGCTTAGGAAGGATTGAAAAAAACATGGAACAGATGCAATATAATTTAAAATGGCTTTTTGAACAGGAAATGGAAAAAAATCATTTTGCTAATGGCAGAAATTAGGCCTGGGCGGTTTCGTTTCGTTAATTCGTAATTAGTTAATAATTCGTTATTTTTTCCAATTACAAAACGATAACGAACCATTCTGGAGCAATCATTAAAAAAAACGAATTTTTAAACACGTTTTGTAAATGCTTCGTATTTCGTTATTGTATTCGTTTCGTTATTGTTCTGAGGTCGTTTCGTTATTATTTCCGCATGTCTGGGCCAGTTTTATGGTTTAATTAGTGAAAAAAAATTATAATATCACACCAACAGTCAACAACAGAGGGAGAGGGAAGCTTCAGAAGGTTTTGGAGGTTTTTTAGCGTATTTCGCGGTCGCGCCCGCCATTAACGAATCGATTCGTTATTGTTTCGGAAATCGATTCGTTAATTTTTTACCATTTACGAAATGTCGTAAATATCGAACTTTTTAAAAGGAAAATTTTGTAATTATTTTAAATATCGAAACAAAAAAAACCCCCAAATACAAATCGATTTTAGAAACAAATTTTTGCGTTGTTACCCAGGCCTAGTAGAAATGTTTTAACAAGTATCTTTCATAGAGGAATGATAAAAATTTGGCCCGTCTTCCAACATAACAGAGATTGTGGATATAATGGATTCAACTAACCCATAAAATGCCTCAGTTGCTATGGACATTGGTGAGGAAGTAATAAGTAATTGGACAAGTTAGGGTTCAGTTCTGAGGGTGGTTTGAAGTGAAATTCCCTTCCTAGGAGTAGATTTTTCTCACTTCCTGTTGTCTCACCCCCATTCTTAACTAAGAGTTGTTTGTAAATTGGATGTTTGTAACTCAGGAACTGCTTGTAATGACACATCTTAGAAATGGGGTCCAAGTCTAAGCTTGAAATTAATATTCTATATACAATTTATATACAGGTGATAGTATTTAATAGTTGTAATATTGGGGACATGCAAAAAAATCTACATTTGAATTGTCTCTGTCACCATGTGGACATTTTTTTTATTCTAGATAAGGGATGCTCGACCTGTATCTTACAATCAATTTATAAATGAAATAGAAATTGTTGACTATAAACAAAATACATGTACAACATTGTCAGCAAATCCAGGACAATATTCTGGCCACTATTGTCATAGTACCCATTCACAGAGAATTCCTCAACAGAATATTGATTTATTCCCTTTACCATATTAATGTACACATGAACAGTACAATGAACCCTTAAATAAAGGCAGAAATGTGCATGTTTGCATCTTGGCACACTTGACATATGCCCATCTATTCCATCTCTCAATGTACCCACCCATCCAACTATCTAGTGAATAATTTGTACTAAGGTGAGAAGAAAAACTGGATCATGCTATGGAAAGTAGTAGTAGTAGTAGTAGTAGTAGTATCATTGTATTTATTTATATACTGCTTGTTGTCTCTTCAGAGAGACCAAAGTGACACACAGAGCAAAAAAAATTACAACATACAATATGAGTCCCCATTGGGGAGATAGGGTGGAATACAAGTAAAGTTTATTTATTTATTTATTTATTTATTTATTTGTTAACACAAAAATAGAAATAAACCAAGCACTATATAAACCATTAAAACTATTTAAAATCTTATTTAAAAGTGTACACAAATGTTCACCTAATGCTGCCTGCTTACACATAAGCAGATTAAACAGGAGCCTATGGGAGTAGCCCCAATGGGGTTGTTATGCACAAAGTGAATTTGATTGTGTCTGAATTTGTTTTCAAACTTTTGATGATTTTCTGGCATTGTTTCATATGTTCTTTTAGCTCACTGCGTTTTTCCCTATGTCTGTTGTGAACTGGATCATCAGGAATTTATGTATTTTCCAGTTTCTTTCCATCCGCTAATTACTTCCATTCATATATTTCCTTTGAATGTGAATCTTGTATAGACATGGTCTTGCATTTAGGTAAGCAATCATGGATACTTACCTTCAAGAATTGATCTGCAGAGAGAGAAAAACAATCTTATAAGGTTCCTTTTAGTCCAACTACACCATTGCCTGTGAAGGTTTCCATTGCAGACTTTGAGTTTGAAGGTTCAGCAATAAGTATTCCAGAACTAACCCAGAATGTAGACTACCCCTTGAATCCTCCAAACTACCCCCCCTTTTTTTGGAAAAAAGAGAGAGAAGAATAAGTTGCCTAAAGCAGTGTTTAACTTTTTTTTTCAAAAACGGACATGGGTACTGTTCCATTAACCAGATGAAGGCCAAAAGGGGGGCTAGACAGAGAAGGATAGTCCATTCTATGAAGGTAGGGGAGTTGAAGGAGGAAAATCATTTCTCCTGTTTTCGCTGGTTATTCCCCCTCCCCCCCTTCACATTTCATAAGCAAGGGTTGTTTCTACAACGGTGATATGGGTGGGGGGAATAACAGGAAAACAGGGGAAAATGGTCTTATTCCTTCAAACACCCCCCAATGGACAATCCTTCTCTGTCTAGTGCCCCCTTTTGGCCTTCACTCAGATAATGGAACAGTATCCAGACATGATTTTATTTATGCAATCTTAGGTCACACCCTGAATGAAGGGCATGGTATAAATCCACTGGATAAATACAAACATACTTTTGTATATATATTTTTGATCATCTATATGGCCCCGAGAATATTCCAGAGCAGAACATTGGAATGTAGTGTTCCTGAAGCTGACCATCTCAATATGCCCCCTGGGAAAACTAAATCCCTCTCTTTAAAAAATGTGCAGGGGTTTCCTGTGAGACAGAAATCAATGAATGTGAGAGTGATCCATGCAAACATGGAGGGACATGCGATGATTCCCTGGGACATTTTAAGTGCATCTGCCCAGTGGGTAAGTCTTTTGCACCATCAATATAAATCACGTTTTAATGCTTTTGGGGTGGAGTATCTGTTTTTCAGAAAACAATAAGAGTGTAAAATGGAGAGTACTTCTGTATTTTTAATGGTCAAGGAGAAGAGGGAATTTCAGGAAGTGTTACCTCTCCAAAGCAAAAAGATGTGCTGAAATTCCCCTTTCTAAGCAATTATTAAAGGTACAGGAACCCTCTCCAGTTTTCACTCTGGGAACCAGAAAAGCACGTTTTGCCATACATACTGACCTCCTTTTGAACAGCCAGATTCTATAAATCAATTGGTGTTACATAAGGATCTTTCAAGTACAGTTTCTTTGTGGTTGGGCACAAAGTCTAGGATATAATCCAACATGGAGGCAAAATGTCTTCTACCACTAGATTAAAATTGTATAGGGCTATTAAGAGCCATATAAAATTATTCTAAGGATTGTGCAGGCAGAAGGTCATGTTTTATCATTCTTTTAAAAATGGAGGGAATAAATTTAGAATACATTTCAATGCATGATAACTTGGGGAAAGTCCCAATGGAATCATTGAGATTTATTCTCAAAAAAATATGCATAAATTTTGTCTGCATATGTTATGGCCATTTTTATGCTTATACAATAAAATATATATTTCAAAGTCCCATCTTCTTGTATGTGATAAATGCAATAATCAAAACTGACTGCCTGTCGATATTGACAAATTCAACCATGATGTTTTAATTATGATAGTATTTGATTTAATATTGTTTGTATGTGTATATCATAGGATTTGAAGGTGTGCAATGTGAAATAAATATTGATGCTTGTCTATTCAACAACATAACCTGCAACCCAGGAGCTCAGTGTGTGGATAAACCATATGAACTTTCTTATATGTGTGGGAAAGCATGCAAAGGAAATTCAGAGGTAAGAAAATTTTAAAAAAATAAGATAGTCTTTTCTTATCCTCTATGTGCAAGTAGAAAAGAGAAGAAACAATTTAACAAAAATAATGCATAATCTGTTTGTCTATGTGTGTATAATATATATATATATATATTGGGAAATTTTGGACTTTTTTAAAATTGGAAGTGGAAGGGAGCAATTCCAGTTTCAACATTTTCTCCCTCCTGCTTCTGTCTATCCTGAGCTGGTATGTTTGACTCTTGTAATCACGCTACCTAAAACAAATAAGATAGTGTACATCTTTGGAAAATCAAACAGTGCTTTTTTGGACTGATCTGAACTAGTAAAAATACAGTTTTCACTCCCAACCCAGTTTTGGGATTCTGCACAATGCACAGCATCTTCTGGTAAGTATCCAGAGATATAATTATTTTGCCCCTAAACCAGCTGTGTTCCACATTAAGTGAAGTTGGGGGATACTCTTGAGTTTGGAGGAATCTTTGGAGTTTCCATGGGCCATATATCTAACTGGACAGCTAAATCAGGTCAATTTCAGCTAATCTGTTGTCCACATAGGCACCACTACCATTGCCCTTTACCTGCTTTCATCAGTGCAGGGGAAAGGGATGAATCATACCCATGTCACTGCAGTTTCTCTTCCCCAGCCACGGCACTCCCTATGAGCACCTGCTTATCATGGCCATATCTGCTGGGGTGGGAATGAATGTCCATGTAATTAGCAAGAAGAAGGGGGTCACTTTTCTCCCTTTTTGTTTGTCACACATGTGCCCTGTTGTGACTTCACTTTTCTCAAAATGGAATTGGAAACCTATACCTCAGAACAATTGGAAAATTATATTAGTGCCTCCAAACTAGGCATCATGAAGAAGTTTAGGTGGGATTCCAGATTTTATGACTCTGAGTCAGAATAACAAATGGTCAAAGACAGTGCATCAGGAAACATCTGGAAGGTTCAAAGTTTGTTACTGCTATGTGAGACAGTTCTGTTATAAATAACTTTGTAGGTTTATTGCCTTACATAGCCAGATATTTCATCTGTTCATGATAAAATATCCCATATCTTTCCTACTCTCTAAATATAAATGTAAATTGTTGCGTATGTGAAAAATTTAATATATTTCATTTTTTAAAAAGTAAGGTAAATATCTGTTACACATGGCAATGTTCTGAAATGGTGCAATAATCATTGTGGCCATTTAGACTAAGATGTGCTGATATGCTGACAATTCTGATGGGAGCTGCAAAAGCAATTTAGCATAATATTTGTTAAAAGCCCTCAGACATATTTAATTTATTCATACAATCATTATACAGATTATAATATGTGTTTGCCCTATTTATGTGCACATGTAGGATTCTGAGCATTTAATCAGGTAAATTGTGTTGTTTTCTGAAATAAATGAAAATAGCAGTAAATAGTACTTATGTGATGCATTGGCCTTTTGGTTTTTTTGTAGTGCAAGGTTCAATAAATTAATAACACTTGCTTAATGAAATGAATAATTGCTAAAAATAACTCGTGTTTGGCACAATTTGGAATATATTACACTCCTGCAAGCTGTACATGCAATAAATCATTGCTGACCCAAAGAGGAGGGGTGGGGGAGATAAAGGAAGCAGACTCATGCATGAGTTGAATATGGCCATTTTACTTAACCCATTGAACCATTAAACTGGCAAAATTATTTTGAACCTGTGAGAGGTAAAAAGGGATTCGGTTGGGACAATGAGCCCCATTTTAACACCTAGCCTTTTGAGGAAATTACCAGATCTCCAGGGGCACTTCAATAACTGGGTTGTCACCTAATCTGCTTTGTCATGAAAGGTAAACCCAAGGAGCCTCTTCCTGAAATCCTCAAACATAAAGTGAGGAACCATCCTTAGGAATAGGCCTTTCCCCCACTCCCCTGAATCCTGGGATCTAAAAGGATGGTTCAATGACTTCCCCTTTACCCAAATAATGTTTACATGCATTCACCAAGTTTTTTTTCTCCCACACCATGTCGCCCACTAATTAAATAGCACCACTCCTCATCAATTTTCCTTTCTAAAAATAGTATAGGGTTGGTGAGAAACCAATGGGGAAGGAAAAACATTCCTATTCAGAGCAAGTAAATGAGCAACATCCTAATCTTCTTTGGAGGCAGGTGGTTGGGACGCATATCAACAATGAATGAGTTAGTAAGACTTTAAATGACCTTTACCTTTACCACTCTTTGACAACCTAGCATTGAGTTTTTTCCCTCCGTGCCAGTAAGGCCAGACCCTCCTCACAAGAATGCATGCTGCATGGAGCTATTACCAAATTCATTGTAAAATTCAGAATGGTGCTTGCTTTCATAACCCATAGGATTGTGGGTCTATTTTTTTTAAAAAAATAAATCTGTTTTGGATCAAGCTGAAGGCCTCTTTGGTCCATCATTGTGGCTCACCCATTGATTGGACAAAGAACCAACCCGGACTATGATTTTGAACCTGCATGGTTTTAAATGAATGTTTTAAAAAATTTAATAATTTAATATGCTAATGAATTGTTTTAACTGTAATGATCATTTATGCTTGTTGTTGGCATTGAATGAATGCCTGTTGTGAAGCTGAGTGCCCCCCCCCCCCCGGGGTGAGAAGGACAGGATACAAATATGTAAAATAAATAAATAAATACCCCTGCATGGTATATTTCTTTAATGCTTTGCCTGGCCATTCTGATGATGTCCTTAGGGGAACTCTCAGGTTGTTTTCTCTGAATATTGGTGATAGGTTGCCTGGAAATTCAAAGAAATATATGAAAATACTTTCTTGTAAATACACACTGTGATCACCCTACTTCTCTGGATGTTATTATAGCATATTGTTTACAATCTGCTTTACTTAGGCTGGAAACAATAATTTTAAAAATTGGCAAAGGAAGGCTACTTTTGTAGTTGCAAGTGAGGGATTAATTTTTGCCGGCTTTGATCAAGCTGACTAGTGGCTTTTTATGAGAAATGGTCCAAGCATAATTTCAGATTTCAGCACTAATGGCATAGCAAAAGGATTCAATTTTAAGGTCAATTTAAAACTTAATCAAAGACAAATTAAGATTGCAAATTTCTGCCAAGAGTTGTTATTTCATATCTCTGTAGCATTTTAAATAGGCTTTGCCTCAATCAAAATGGGGAGTAGAAAACTGGATGGCTGATTGTCTCCATCTGATTTTCCCCCTTTTTTAGTGTTCTGCTCATTGATTAGAGAAAACAGATATTATATTTACATCTAGAATGCAGCTGAGGAACATTACACGTAGCTGGGATTTTTTTTTCAGAGAACAATATTTATTCTGTCTCTGCACATTATATTTATCTATATTTGTTGTTGCTGGGTTCAACCTCCCCGCCACCCCTTAGAAGATTTATGTACTTTTTATTGCTTTTTTTAAAACTCAAAATAGCTTACCATAATGAAAACACAAAACATAGTAAAACCCACTAAAATAAAATAATGCAATATTTCCTTACACTGTTTTTATTACATTATGTTACCTATTGAATAATTTGGAAACATCTGCAATCAGAAAAATGTCTGGATAAACAAAATTATTATTATTATTATTATTATTATTATTATTATTTGAAACACAACAAGATGAGTCCACAGCAGATATTCTGCTGGCTGTTGTATTGGATCACACATCGGACACTTCTACCAACAGTACACCCCGAAAATGTCGAGGAACATTGGAACAAACTGAAGACCTCCATCATCCAAGCCTGCGAAGAAACTATTGGATACCAAGCCAAGAAACATCAAGACTGGTTTGATGAAAAGGACATCGAGATCCAACAGCTAATTGACAAGAAAAGGAAAGCCTTCCAAGCATGGCAGAAAGACATCAACTGTGCTGCTAAGAAAAAGATCTATGCCAGTGCAAAAGCTGAGGTCCAAAGAAGGACAAGAGAACTCAAGAACATCTGGTGGACAAAGAAGGCTGAAGAAATCCAACATCTGGCAGATACCCATGATGCTCAGGGATTTTTCAAAGCCACAAAGGTCATCTACGGACCAAGAAACCATGGCATACAGCCTCTACGCTCATCAGATGGAACCAAACTCCTGAAGGACCAAAACTCAATTGCACTACGTTGGAAAGAACACTACCAAAGCCTCCTGAACCGCAGCTCCAACGTGGCCGAAGAGGTCCTCTCACAAATCCCACAACAACAAACCAGGGATGAGCTTGCAGCACTGCCTAGTTTGGAAGAAGTCAGCAATGCCATCAGCCAACAGAAGAATAACAAAGCCAGTGGACCAGATGGGATCCCTGCTGAAATCTTTAAAGAGGGAGGACCTGAGCTGACACACCAACTCCACCAGCTCATAGAAAAAGTGTGGGTGACCGAGAAAATCCCAGCAGATTTCAAGGATGCCACCATCATCACCCTCTTCAAAAAAGGGGAAAGAACAGACTGCGGAAACTATCGAGGTATCTCCCTTCTAACCTCCGCTGGGAAAATCCTCGCAAGAATCCTTGCAAACCGCCTTCTGCCCCTCTCAGAAGACAACCTCCCAGAATCCCAGAACGGCTTCCGCCCCTCCAGAGGAACCGTGGACATGATCTTCACTGCACGACAGCTCCAAGAAAAATGCAGAGGAACAAAATCAACCTCTGTACATGGCATTCATCGACCTTGCAAAGGCATTCGACACAGTTAATCGCAGCGCTCTCTGGACCATCCTCCAAAAAATCGGGTGCCCTAACAAATTTGTGAACATCCTGCGGCTCCTCCATGATGACATGATGGCAACAGTCTTGGACAGCAGTGGCCCCCAAAGTGACCCATTTAAAGTGGAATCCGGTGTCAAACAGGGATGTGTTATTGCCCCAACTCTATTCTCCATCTTCATCGCTATGATACTTCACCTTGTTGATGGGAAGCTTCCCACCGGAGTGGAAATAATCTATCGGACAGATGGCAAGCTATTCAACCTCAGCAGACTGAAAGCCAAAACCAAGTTACAACAACATCTGTTCTAAAACTCCAGTATGCTGATGACAATGTCATCTGTGCACATTCAGAAGAAGATCTACAAGCCACTCTAAACACCTTCATGGAAGCATATGAGAAGCTCGACCTGTTATTGAACATCGAGAAAACCAAGTGCTCTTCCAGCAGTCACCAGCCAATCCCTCTCCAGTGCCAGAAACAGCTTAATGGTGTAACATTAGAAAATGTTGACCATTTCCGCTACCTTGGCAGCCACCTCTCCACAAAAGTCAACATTGACACTGAAATACAACACTGCCTGAGCTCTGCGAGTGCAGCATTTTTCCGAATGAAGCAGAGAGTGTTTGAGGACCAGGACATCCGTAGGGATACCAAGGTGCTTGTTATAAAGCTATTGTCCTCCCAACCCTGCTATATGCCTGTGAGACGTGGACTGTCTACAGACGTCACATGCAGCTCCTGGAACGTTTCCATCAGCGCTGCCTCCGGAAAATCCTGCAAAGCTCCTGGGAAGACAAGCGGACAAACGTCAGTGTGCTGGAAGAAGCAAAGACCACCAGCATTGAAGCGATGGTCCTCCAACATCAACTCCGCTGGGCCGGCCACGTTGTCCGGATGCCTGACCACCGTCTCCCAAAGCAGTTGCTCTACTCCGAACTTAAGAACAGAAAACGGAATGTTGGTGGACAGGAAAAGAGATTTAAAGATGGGCTCAAAGCCAACCTTAAAAACTCTGGCATAGACACTGAGAACTGGGAAGCCCTGGCCCTTGAGCGCTCCAGCTGGAGGTCAGCTGTGACCAGCAGTGCTGCAGAATTTGAGGAGGCACGAGTGGAGGGTGAAAGAGTGAAACGTGCCAGGAGGAAGGCGCGTCAAGCCAACCCCGACCGGGACCACCTTCCACCTGGAAACCAATGCCCTCACTGCGGAAGAAGATGCAGAGCAAGAATAGGGCTCCACAGCCACATACGGACCCACAAGGAAATCCATAATGGAAGACCATCTTACTCGTCCAACGAGGGATCGCCTAAGTAAGTAAGTAAGTACTTCCCAAGTGTCTAGGACTGTGTGATGTATCAGCAAATAATGCATGCAGATCCCAGTAAGGTGGCCTTTTGCAGCTGGCAGATGATAATTTTGTCAGCGCTGACTGTGTTTAAGTGCAGGCCAAGGTCTTTAGGCACTGCACCGAGTGTGCCGATCACCACTGGGACCACCTTGACAGGCTTGTGCCACAGTCTTTGCAGTTCAAGCTTGCAGTTCATATCTTGTAAGCTTATCTAGTTGTTTTTCTTCAATTCTGCCATCACCTGAGATTGCAACATTATTATTATTATTATTATTATTATTATTATTATTATTATTATTCTTGCCCACCTCTCCTCATGGCTCAAAGCTAACCACCTTCATTTAGCAGTGGAAAAATATGATCTTCCCATATACGCTAGATTGGAGAAGGTTCCAGAATATAAATTTAACTGGCCACTAATGCATAGAACATAGTAAACATTCCATGTCCTTTTGTAGATTCTCATATTATAATTTCCAGTATTCTTCACATGTTTAGACTCTTACATCCCTTCATTTGTCCATGTCACATGTGTGATATGATTTCGTGTAATCCCATTTAGAAATGCTCATGGTACACACATGTATAGTATACATTCTACTCAGTATCACGATTTTTCATGTACAACAGAGTAGGATGAGATGATAATTAAATATTCCATGTGATAAATTGATTGGAATGGTGGGCTGAGATTTGGGAGATGATGATGATGATGATGATGATGATGTTTATTTATGCCTCACGTTTTCTCTCCACAAGAGTACTTAAATAGGGTTATGGTGGACTGACATCTGGAAGATGCAGGTTCTAATCCCCTTGCATCAGGAAATACACTGGATGATTCTGGGCTGTCACCTTCCCTTAGCCTGATAACCTGTTAAGGAAATAAAGTGGGAAAGAAGAGAATCATATACCACTCTGAGGTCATTGAAACAAAAATGTACATAACAGATACTTAAAAATAACTATTACAGATTACTGTCATCATCATTATTATAATCATCATCATCTATTTACATAGAACCAGCGGCATACATAGCACTTCACATGAGTGGTTTACATTGTTAATTTGCCAGTTCATTGCTCTCACGGTTACAATCCAAAAGTACAAGACATGCAAGGAAAAGGGGGTAGCAGTGGGAAGAAGATTAAATCCAGTAGTATTGGCTGTGGTTCTCTTTCTCCAGAAAACACAGCAGTGGCAGTTGGGTTAGAGAGAGGGTCTTTCCTTAGTTGCTGCAGCTAATTATGGCAGATTGGGTAAAGCAATATTAGAAATAATTTTGATACTTTGTAAATGTTGAAACAATAGCAGAGGAACCTACTCAATCCCAGAAAAGTATCTGAAACATGATGCCAGCAGTCAAGCTATGGGATTCATTCTCATGACATTCAATGACTCACTGAAATGGAAGTAATGATATAAACTCATTTTGGTAGATCTGTCAATGGCTGTACTCACAGGTAGAATTCCCCTGTCTGCCATTTTCTAAAAGCAAAAAGGAGGTTAACTTGACAGCCTGAGCAAGGACATCTGGATGTCTACTGTTAGAGAGAAAGTAGTGAACTAATCAAACCTTTGGCCTCAATTAGCATAAAGGAATCTACTGCAACAAACTGAACTGTTAACGGTGGCTGTCAACACTATCACATTCAGAGTAAAAGCTGATTTTATCTTGCCACGCAAATAAGTTCATTTCATCCGGCTATCAATCTCTGGATCAAAATCATGTCTCAAAGAGCTTCCAGTTCTTGATACTTACATGGGGATATGCAAGTATTAAAAGAGTTAAGAGTGTGTTTCAAATTTGCAACCAGTCATAGTCACCTGTCTAATTTCAGGGATGCTCTGGATAATATAATTGAGCAGCATCAGTTTACTCATAGACATATGCCTTTCTTGATTGATTTTAATGAATTTTTGAGTGATTACAAATGAGAATGAAATTTGTGTTAAATATGATTTTTTTAAATTTTACAAATTAACCCCATTTATAATCTACAGGCATCTTTTTTCATCCTCACCAGGTAATGCTGAATGTTAGATACTTTTATTTCAATTACATGCAGTAAAAGGCAGATATTTGAAAAGTATGAACAGATCACTTCCCCACCACCCTTACACATTATGGAAAATGTGTGCATTAAGAAATGTGCAATCCAAATCATGGATTTTCCATGCCATGGGGTTGTTGTTGGTGGTGGTTCACAACTTGTATACAACATGTTTATGGGATTATGAGAAATGCAACTGTAATGTAATGGGTAGATTTTTTTTAACCCTTAAATGCACACTCATATATCTAGTAAGCTTACTATGATAGAATTGTCAGGAATCTTTGTTTTAGTACCATAATGTATTTTAGAGATTTGCATAGCCTATGACTAGAATAGAGATGGAAATCTTTATTATACCTCAGTGTGTAATTCTCATTTCCAGTTGTGTGAGAATGGAGGCAGATGCTATCACAATGAAGACAACCAGGACTATCAATGTATCTGTGCTCCTGGATGGACTGGACCTACATGTTCGCAAAATATTAATGACTGTGAAGTGAGCTGGTGTCAGAATGGAGGCACTTGTGAAGATGGAATCAATGAATACAGGTACTAACATGCCTCCTTTATGGTAGTTTCCCCCCTCCTTGAAACCTTAGGGACATTACAAGGCATGATTGAAATACCTTTTCCCTCCTGCTGCTTTCAGCTGCAATTAAAATGTCATTGCTGTTACATTTATCCCCTTCACATTCTAAAATGTTATGGGCAGTAACTTGCAATAAACATGGCTATTTAAAGTAAACAGATTGATTACCTAAGTCGTATTTCACAGAGAGATTTAAAAAGAAATACATTGACTCAAAGAAAAAAGTAACTGGGAGTCAGTCTCTAATTGGTATATTGTCTTCTTGCCTAAAATAAATACAAAAAACCTTAGGAAAAGAAAAAAAGAAAGAAGAGGAGTTTTTCTTCTAAATATATTCATATATTTATAAACTCTATATGAACACTATAGAAACATGTTAGCAGGTTGTAGCAAAATTCTTGGACATATTCTAGATTTTTCTGTAATCTAGATTGCAATGATTTCCATTTACAGAACTAGGGGCCCATCCAGACAGATCCCAAAATGCGCAAGCTTTTATGCTTTTACTGGAGATTTCCAAACAATGTCTCTGGTAAAGGAGGGGTAATTTGTGACAAAGCAAATTATCCCTCCTGCTTTGTCATGAATTATTTAGATACTTCATTAGTCCCGCGCCTTCCTGAATGACCGGGGTCTAATGGAGTATGGGCCCTATGTGGACTGACCCCCAAGGTAGTTCTGGAACCATCAAGGTGTCAGTCCACAAAGACCAATTTGCTTCTTTGGGGCCCCTGGAGAAGCAAAGAAGGAACCCACCTATCTTCAAATCCTCCCCTGGAATCTTTAAAATAAAATAAAAATTTACTGTGCCACCATTATGTCTCTCCGGGGGCTTCCTGGCACATACCAATGTTGCACTAGGAGGCAGGGGACTAAATCACCCCTGCTCCCCCTCCCCCCACTTCCTGGTGCAACATTGGTACATGCCAGGAGCCTTCAGAGGGCATAATTATGGCCCAAAAAGTTTTTATTTATTTTTAAAAAATGTTTAGGGGGGATTTTGTTGTCCCCATTCCAGCGTGGTAGTTAATGTGCAGTAATGGGGACAACCCACAGGAATACTTGTTTGTTTTCCTGGGGTGTGGGAACTTAAGACCACTTCAGAATGGGTTTGATATATGTTTGGAAGTGCCCTAGGATAGTATGGAACAGATATGAAATCTAGAAACATAAACTACATCCAAAAGTGTTGAAGGAACTAGCAGAAGTAATGTCAGAACCACTGGCCATAATCTTTGAGAATTCTTGGAGAACAGGAGAGGTACAAGAAGACTGGAGGAGGGCAAATGTTGTCCCTATCTTCAAAAAGGGGGGAAAGAGGACCAAACAATTATCATCCAATCAGCCTGACATTAATATCAGGAAAGATTCTGGAGCAGATCGTTAAGGAGGCAGTTTACAATCACTTAGAAAGGAATGCTATGGTTATTAAAAATCAACATGGATTTCTCAAAAACAAGTCATGCCAGACAAATCTTATCTCTTTCTTCGATAGCATTACAGGCATGGAAGATGCAGAGAATGCTGTGGATGTAGCATGTCTTGATTTCAGTAAGGCCTTTGATAAGGTCCCTCATGACCTTGCAAACAAACTAGTCAAATGTGAGTGATGCTAGTGTTAGGTAGATTTTTAATTTGTTAAGTGACCGAACCCAAAGGGCACTCACCAAGCATTCCTCTTCATCCTGGAAAAAGGTGATTGTGCCTCAGGGTTCAGTCCTGGGCCCAGTACTGTTCGACATCTTTATCAATTACTTAGATGGAGGTTTAGGGGGCCTGCACATCAAGTTTTCAGGTGACACCAAATTGGGAGGGATAGATAATACTCCAGAGAACAGGATCAGAATTCAAAATCGCCTTAACTGATTAGATTGCTGGGCCAAAACTAACAAAATGAATTTCAGTTAAGACAAATGCAAGATACTACACTTAGGCAGAAAAAATGAAATGCAAAGATACAAAATGGGTGACAACTGGCTCAACAACAGTTCATGTGAAAAATATCTTTGTAAAGTCTTTGTGGGCAATAAATTGAACATGAGCCAAAAGTGTGACGCAGCAGCTTAAAAAGCCAATGGGATTTTGGGCTACATCAAAAGAAGCATCTTAAATAGTTGAGTATGTTTATTCTGCAGAAAAGAAGGTTGAGAGGAGACATGATAGCCATGCATAAATATGTGAAAGGATGTCATAAGGAAGAGGGAGCAGATTTGTTTTCTGCTGTCCTGGAAACCAGGACTCAGAGTAATGGGTTCAAATTATAGGAAAGGATGCAACGCAACCTGAGCCCTGCCACATGCACTATGGAGGACCTTCTTGCAGCAACACCAGAGGCACTCCAAGTGGCCAGATACTGGTCAAAGGACATTTAATCAGCTACCAAGTTTGCAAAATTTGTGTGTTTTTTTAAATCTGTTTGTTTGTTTTGTTCTGTTAGGAATATAATACAATGTTCTGGTTGTGGATGACACGATAAATAAATAAATAAATAAATAAATAAATAAATAAATAAATAAATAAAATAGGAAAGGAGATTCCACATAAACATTAGGAAGAACTTCTATACCTTGGAGTGTGATGGAAATTCCTTCCTTGGAAGCTGGATGGCCATCTGTTAGGGGTGCTTTGATTGTGCTTTTCCTGCATGGCAAGGTGTTGGACTAGATGGTCCATGTGGTCCCTTCCAATTATATTATTCTATGATTCTATGATTCCCAAGGAAAGCTTAGAGAAGACAATTATGCTGGGGAAAATGGAAGGAAAAAGGAAGAGGGGCCGACCAAGGGCAAGATGGATGGATGGGATCCTTAAAGTGACTGGATTGACCTTGAAGGAGCTGGGGGTGACGGCTGACAGGGAGCTCTGGCATGGGTTGGTCCATGAGGTCACAAAGAGTCGGAAATGACTGAATGAATGAACAACAACATGATTCCCAAGTCTCACAAGACCACAAGATTCAACTAAATATTCTGTGGTTGACCATTTCACAGTACAAGTTCACTAACTTGGAAGGCCCAAAAGGCTGTGGAACCAATTACCTTGTGAAGTTTTAAAAACCAGAAATTTGGCACTTTTTTAGGTATTGCTAATCTGTCTTTACAGAAACCTTCTGTTTTTCATGTTCTTCCACATAATTTTAGTGACTGCGGTAAAATTTTGTTTGATACAGCTGCTAAATTGGCTTTTATCTGTATTGGATTTCATTTTAATTATATTTTAACCCAGATATTGTTTAAAGTTTTAGTTATCATTCCACACATTAAGAATCTTCAATTGAAAAGAGAGCCATGTATTCCCTAAATAAATTTATAAATGAATAACCAGATAAAAACATTCAATTTGTAACAAACAGCCAGTGTCACCATCTCCAGCTTACATGGGGAAAAATGAGATACACGTGGGAGGTAAATTCTTTGTACTAATCTAAAATGTTTGTGATGTTGTACTCCATCAGGTGCTAGCAGAAAAAAATAAAAAACATGAAGTAGCATGCCTCTGAGCTATAATTCCTTCAGGTATGCTAAACTGTTCTGAGAGGCAAGATGACTTCAGAAATAATTAGCTGGTAATACTGCACACATCTTGAATGACTCCCATTCATTCCACTGGGGTCCTAAATAGGACAAATTCTTGGTCTATTGTGTTTCAAAGCCTTTGACAGCTAGGTAGATTAGAAACTAATTACATTTGGTTCACTCTTCAGAAAGTGACAATTGCTATTCGCTTAGTTTATTAGGAAGCAAGTGCTTACTTCACAAATATATCCTTTCAAGCTACATATGACAATCTGAACAAAGTGAAAAACACAGTCATTCTGAAGAATGCCTTAAGTTACCAGGTTCTATAGAAAGTACCCCAAACTACACTGTTCTGTTGGAAGGTATTCTGAATAAAGGCGTAGGAAGCTTTCAAAGGGCAGTTATGAAATATGATATTCCAGGGCATTCAGAAAACAAGGTTGCGGATTTAGTCCCTAAAATCTCTGGAACTGACTGGAAAACACTTTTGTCTGAAACTTTGCAGAGCTGAGCAAGTCTGTGTAGAACTCTATAGACAATGATGAGCTATATGGTTCAAAGGTTATCAAATATGGTCAGGACTGATAACTACTTACTTTATTCATTGTAGCGTCTGAGTTTTAGTTAAAGGTACAGTTGTCCCTCCATATTTGCTGTTCACTTTTGTGAATTTGCTTATTCAATGTTTTGATTTAAAATGCTCTCTTAGAGGTCATATCCACAGTGATCAATTTATGTGAATGGTCCCCAGTTATGAATGGCAGCCAAACAGTGCACTGAGCCAATCTGATATAATGTAGGGCAAGGCCACTTAATGACACTTTGACCTGCATTGACCACAATTGCAAGATACAGAGGAACCTGCAACTTTTTGTCCATGTAAACAGTTGGACTGGTTGTTTCCTGGACTAAGGGGCCCAAGGACTTGGAATGGCATTTCCTGTCACCTTCCATTATGTGGGTTGGTAGTCTCTGGCTGTTATAAAGATTCTGCTGGTTGATAATTGTCAGCTGGGCTGATGGGGAAATTGGAGAAGGGAGACTCAGTAGGAAGGGCAATCTCCTCTCTCACACCTCCCCAATTCCCTGCAACACAGGGATCAGAAGGGGGTGGTAAGGGTAGCCATCTGGGCTAGCTGATATTGAGCAGGACTCCATCCCACCTCTGATGGGGAAGGGAGTGATAGCTGTGAAAACTATCCCAGGGTTGATCTGGTGTAGACTACTCTGCTTTCTGTAGTCTTTGACAATGTGACTAAAATTCTCAGGTTGCTAGTGCTTGTTAAAAAAACAGAAATATCCCATCTCAAATATTAGACATTTGAATCAGTTGAAATTATCAAATTGCATGTTGTCTTATTGCATTGTATTGTAAACCAAAGCATGATCAATTTAACACTTCATGGGTCCAGGTTATTATGCACAGTGATACCAAGCTCTGT